GTCAAGTCTATTATATAAATATAATATATATATTATATAATAAATTATATTTAAAATGCTATTTGGCCAGTAAAATTCTTTGACCAGACTGGTCAATTGGTCTGGTTAGCCCAACACTAGTTATAATATCTAGTTGCAAATTAGATTTATTACACAAGATTTTGCTTACAAGTTGGCACAAAACACATTTACATAATTATTATAGTACTTATTTAAAAATACAAAAATTTTTAAATTATTTAAATGCTTTATTTTTTTTTTATATAAGCAAAACTCTTAGTATTTTATAAAAATCAACACTTATATATACATACTGTAATATTTAATTAATTTAATTAGTTGTATTTACAGAATTTTGAAATAGCTGTTTAACTAGTTTAAGATACGTTTTATTGTAAGCTATAAAAATTATAATTTTATGCTAAATATTAAACTTTTTTTTTTAAATATGCCACAGTATGTGGCACAATTTACCTAATCTTATTGTTATATTTGCAAAAATATTGAAAAAAATGCTTTTTATTTAATTGCTTTCTTGATGTATATATATAAAATAACTTTATAATTAATTAAGAGTAGCATGATTAAGTTGGGATATTAAAAAAGAAAATCTTCTACTTCCTTTTCCACTGCCACTACTACTAGCAGAATTTTGTCTAGTTCCAACTGTTCCTAATTTTGATACAACCTTAAAAACCTCATATTCATCAACGCTAAACCTATCATGATTAGTAATCATCAAAGGTCTCTCATAGGATTGCCGCTTACATGAACAACCTAATTCTACATTAAAATTGGAATGAGTTCCACCCATAACCAAATCACCACTACCAAAGCATGCCCCTATAGCTTGTGAACAAAGCACAGCTCTCGAAGGTTCCTGAACTCTTGAGAGTAAAGCTGCTTTGATATCTTCACCATCACCCAAAGAAAATAAGAAACTGTCCTTTGTATTTCCCCATTTATTCGTTGAATCCCAATTTAATGGATTATACCCACCAATCAAATGTCCTGATCCATGAATCTTCATAACTAGAATAGTTGCACCTTGAAAGTCACATCGATTATGAAAGGCCTGTGGAGAGAAGCCATCTCGAGTTCCACGGACCAATAATTTAAATTCATAAGGAATATTTGAATATTCATAAGGAATACTGGTAGTATTGTAAAATGCATTTAAGTCATTTCTATCAATCCAACTAGAAATCAAAGCAGCATGTCTAGCACGTAATAAATTAGATTCAATCCCTCCACGCCTAGAGGGCATTAACGAGATAGGTCGCGGACAATCCGGTACCATATGATATCTCATTACATCTTCGAACAAAGCTTTGGGTATAATATCTCTATATGGCATTACTTTACTATGAAAATCATTTGAAGAAATTTGAAATATTCGAACCAGTGGGATACATTGTTGTATTGTTGCCTGTAAACTACTTAAATGTTCAGATTGCCATTGAGAAATATCCAATGATGTTAAATCAATAGTTGATGAAAATGAAGCAGCAGTCTTAGCAATTCCCCATTTGATAAGATAATCCCAAACTTCAATTTCATCCAATTGTAGATCATCTCGTTGAAATACTCTTAATAGAACATTAATATTAACAGAAAGATAATCATCAGAATCAAATAATAAAGAAGGATTTTTACATATTCTTCCAACACAATATTCTTGAAGTCTTTTTAGACGGTCATTTTGAAAAACGGTGCGACGCACTAAATCAAAATTATCTTCCATCCATTGAACTTTATATGTAACAAGATG